CACAAAAACTTCCGGTCCCGCCCACTGGTCCATGGTCCGTGGAAGATTCCTTTAAGCAACAAGTCTCACACCCACAACCCCAACTCCGCGGGCAGCGGAGGGTCCGAAAATTTCAATGCCACTACTACTCGAGGGATACACGAGCCCCTAGTGAAGAACATATGCAGTGGAAATAATAAACGAACTCACCTCAGAAACTCAAAAACAGGGTGGAAAGTCCCTCAAACATGGGTGTTCTTGGGGATTTCCCCAATCCCGCCCCCTTGCCGGCCGTCATTGGACGCGTCGGCAATCGTGCTCGTTTTGGGACCACAGGGAAAATTGATTGAAAAATGGAGCGCGTTTACAGCGGGCACGTTCAGACAACTCGTCCAACGTGCGTCTTTATCCATTGCTGAGCGGCAGAGGGAGAGTACCTGTCTAAGACCCTCCCCGACGTTTTTTTCCAGTTTTTCATACATTAATCGTCTGGTTTTCATCTACAACTTCATTATTGGTGGTTTTTTCCCGAAAACCGTTCCTCCGAACTGCTTCATGCTTTAAGCAGCGCCATTTACCACTAGGGACAAACGTCGGGTTCACATATATTCAAAAATTTTACGGTCCTCTCTCCAAAGTGAGTTCCGGCATGACCTCCTTTTGGTTTGGATAATGAATTAGTGCATAAACATCACAATATCAAACTGAGACTGCGGCTGCGTCGCAGTAATAGCCTGAGAGGGCCAGTTTCGTTAAAGCAGTGGGAGAGCAGAGCGCATCTGGAAAAATTATCCTAGAGAGAAATGGCTTTCTTCGACTCATACTTTTTCATTTATGTAGGTAGATCTGGAATCTGCATGACATGCGACCTCCACTTTCAAAAAGTCATAAAATCTTTTGAATTTGCTTTTTGAAGAGTCGTCGTAAAAAGCTTCAGAAAGAACAAGTATTTTGCTTTTTAAATGGTATTGAAGTTTTGTGACCATCCAAGTTTGCCTCAAATCCCACCGACCACTTTTTTCGTGCTAATGCGAGTATTTCGGGTTTTTAAAGACCATATCGCTTCTGTGAGGATTTTGGCATGGCAAGAAAGCACAGGAGTCTAGCTCTCTAGTAAGCCCTTGATTGCTATTCGAAGTTCACGTTTCGATAAATTATGGGCGAGAGTTTTCGAGCAATAACTTCGAGTTTTCGGGCTTTTAACATCCATAACTTTTTTCAAAAAGCTTTTTTGGAGAAATAAAGGCACTGTTGAAAACAGGGAGACTTGCGCTTTTCAGAGGTGAACCTAAATCATCCTGAGGAGGCTCCCTTCGAGTTGATTTTGGTGTACGTTGGAAGCACCTTCAAAACTTTCAGTTTCAGAGAGTCGAGAAGAAAATCCTTTCATATCATTGTCCCTCCTTGCCCTTTCGTCCGAATACACCGAGATTTAGAATCAAACCTTTTCAGCCTCATAAGTCCAGAAGCGGTCGCCACTAGCAAGTCCAGCTTTGAGGTACACCAAGCATGCACCTACGCTTTAAAGTTGCGAAGAAATTTCAAACCTATTTCTTCTTGCTATGACCTGTGAAAGCTCGCCACTCCCATCCTTAGAATGCTCGTCATTCTCGTTGCGGTCTCTGGCAACGCTTTCGTTTCACTCCGTCGATCTTGGAAGGTTTACTGAATTACTCTCTTCTTGTAACCTCGACATTCTTTGTTCTTATTTATTTGTCTTTGTTCGTAGTCATTACTGAAGTAGTGCTACTCAAGCGAGCATCCTTTGCTTCATTTTTTTACCACGTAAAGGCAGCGATTACGATAGTTTTCAGGAAGGGTTTAGTGCGACGTGGTGGTGCTCAATGGTACGCCAGTAGCGAAAAAGCAGAAAAATCCGTCAAGAAAACGCAAAACGGGACCCCCTTTTTTGGCCGTTGGTTTTCACTCATGAACAGCTCAGAAAGTGGACGTATGAACGAGTTCACCGCAACGCGTTTGATGGCACCATGCCAAACCACGCTTTAATCGAGTTGCGCCGCTGCTGGCAACGCAGCTCGTCCAAATCACCAAGTAAACTAGTGGGCGGATCGCTTTTGGGGGCGGAGCGCTTTCGAAGTCCTGCTCAGCAACCAGCGCACCTTTCGTGTGAAAGCGCCACATCTCGCTTCCCTGGCAGCCAAGTAACTGATTCGTGTGGTGCATATGCTTCCCCGATGCGCTCCTCTTTATCGTAATCGCTGCCTTTAAGTTCATAGTCTATTCCAGCGTTTCCTCCTCTGTTTCTACCGTTGTCAATGACGTGCCGCCGCGGGCCCTCATTTCACAAGCCCCTCAATCAGCAAAATGACCCCTTGAATAGTTCGAGCGGACGCTTGACCCTACTTGCCACTACACCACTTCCGCCAAACCCAAAATCGTACTGAAGATTGAATGCCATTTGCTCTATGCAATGACTTGCTTGGAGGGGCTTTGTCGACATGCAGTGTTTTGTGAATAATTCTTTATTGAACAAGGCATGGCACCATCCAGCCCACTCGGGAAGATGGAAGACTTAGGTGGTATTAAAGGGATCACATCTGGAACTTTGATATATGGACCGTGATGAGCACAGCAATGTGAATTCTATAGGAGATCGTATTAGGTTCTATAGAAGGGGAGAATTGGATGAAATGAATAACGTATTCTAGAAGGGGCAATAGGACCTCTATTGCTCGAGAAGAAGAAGTTGCTAGAGGACTTCTATAAACTTCTGAAGAAATTTCACGTTGTTGGCGATTTACTTCAATTATTTGTGCCTTTTCAGGATAGTTCCAGCTAGGATGGGAAGGATGGGATCATCCGAAGAAAGAAGAAGTAGTGGGGCAGGTTGGGGATGTCTAAGTCTCCGGGTCATTCAGCCATCACTTGGCTCATCTTGTTACGGGCCGTGTGGCGCTTTGTGGCTACAAGTCCAATCAATTTCAATGCATTTTGCTCAACTGTCAACCTGGTGGAGACACAACTCTTTATTGAGACAATGGACACACGTTGTTTCCCCGAATTTCTACATAACTCCAAAATTCTAGATTTTGACGGATTCTTCGAACGAAAGCATCGAGAAAGCAGTCCACCTGTTTCCCATATTCTCACACGGTCCCTTCCCAACATCTAGCTAAAAACTAATTTTCTTATTGCAATTTCCAGAATTCACATCCAAATATTTGAATTAAGCCAAATGTTTGGTGCTAAACACTTATCGTGATTAGTGAGGTGTGGATGGCAGTAGCTATAATGCGCCACAACACCCTTCCAGAATAGGACCCTATCCAGATTGTGCGAGTCTTACTTCGGATTAATCATATGGAAGCAAGTGTCAGAAACAGGTATCACTCTCTGAAACTTCGACCATCACTCCTTTCGTAACCACCCATGTGATAGGCCAAAGAGCCAAACAGTTCGGCTGACACAAACGATTATATTCTTTTCTACTCCTTCCTTCTTTACTTGAACTATGAAGAGGGTTCAATGAAATGTAACCGTGCTTAGCTTGGACAGTGGATAACAGCGGCGCTCAGACGCCCTCAACTCTGTCTGGAACATTTTTCCAACATTTTTCACTTCAAAACTGCTTCTCTAACAAGGGAGGTCTTTCAGGGCAAGGAGCAAAACGGTTTTGTGCATATTGTAGGGACGCATGTAGGGAACGCAAAACCATGTTTCATTTTCGCTGAACGGTTATAGCAGTACCAAAAAAGAAGCATAAGGTACTGTTAATGGTTCGATCCCCGTGGCGACTAAATTTTGCATTTGGGTTGGCGCCTACGGTTTGGTGCCAAATCGCGCTAAATATCAAAATCAGATGTCAAATTCATCGTCAGGACCATTTTGAAGCCAACAAGTGGCCGCCAACCTTGATTGCAAAATTTAGTCGCCGCGGGGGATTGAACCATCAAGAGTATTATTCACCACTTTTTGGTACTACTAAATTCAGCGAAAACGAAACATGGTTTTGTGGTCCATACATGCGTCCCTACAACATGTACTAAACCGTTTCCAAAAAGCGCACCTTGCCCTGAAAGACCTCCCTTGCAAGGGTGGAGATATCATCCATCAGCGAAACGATGAAAACTACTAGTAAGTTGCCTGCAAAATTTTTCAATATGTTGGAAACCCTACATGAACCTTACCCTTCTAACATCTCCTTTAAGACTTCTCCGTAACAAACTAAATCCAGCCCATTTCTCCTAACGTGTATTTCGCGAACAACATTACCATCTTGGCATTCGCATTCAAAATCTGGGATTATTTTGATCAAGAAATTGGTGCCATGATCAAAAGACCTCCTGCATTCCCTTAATTTCGGAATCTCTTGAATGCAGATCAAACCGTCACTCGGTACCACTGCGATTCAAAGGGCTCAACTGATATTTCGTATAGTGCAGCATAGTACAAGGTCTCCAACTCCTGTCACAACCGCCTATCTGTACCGCAACCTTCGTAAGCTGATCTAGATGAGTGTTCGAACTCACAGAAAAGGTATGCTGCATTTATTGAGCACGATTACAAAGGATTTGAGCAAATCAAAAACATCACGAGCAAAATAATCTCAACAAACGATTCTCGTAATATGATGTAAACATCTAAATATCTGTGAACCTGTTCATGGTAACCTGGGCGAAAACACCGGAGCATATCATAAAATCCCAAACTAGAAGAATGAATCGCAAAACGCGAATTACTTTCCCAAATAGCCAACTGAGCCCAGATTAAAACAGTAGCTCAGATGCATCACCGAAGTAGCGACTAAGGGCGTGATTACGCGATGCGTAAGGCGTCCGGCGCAGGCAGTTGGCGCACACGGCCACTGGACCACCCTACGCTTATTCCAACTGTAGCAAACATGAGCAATGCACTAGGGTTAGACACTACTATTTTAAAGTGTCTCTCATTTGTTAGCAACCTGCTCTATCAAAATTAAGATAATTTAGGTATTCATTAGTATGACTAAGATCATAGAACAATTACTGTTGCAAATGCATACTTTCTTCGACACATTTTAGTTACATGAATAAGCCTCCAGTCACTTCCAGAGTTGCTCCTGTCATATATTTCGACATATCAGATGCGAGGAACAGAGTGGCATCTGCGATTTCTTCGGGTTCTCCCATACGCCCCATCGGTATTCCCTCACAGATTGAAGATAGAACCTGAACAAACTGCATCGAAACAGCCACTAACAAAACAGATTTTTGGGGAAGAAACGTATGGTTTTTCAGGAATCCGGAATGGAGAAGCATCGTAAAGAGAACCGATCACCAGTGAGGTTTTTTGAACGTGCCCCTTTTTTCGATGCGTTTTTAGCGCGATATAGGAGCACGCAGCACCAATAGAGTAACTATGGCTCATTTTTCTCATACGGCCCTGGAAGGATGAAAAAGTGGAGAGAAATTTATTTGGGAAAAGCAGCTTTTGCAGCGCTAACGTAAAGTGAGTGTTTATAGTATTACTTAGTTGAAAAGAAGTTCCTTGCGGGCTCTACGTTGAGAGCAATGTGAAATTCGAACAAATGAAGGTTCATTCACAGTGTGCACTGAAAAGAGCGTTTAATCTCCTTAAAAGGTGTAAGCGCGTCGGCTTTGATGAGCTCGTCGAGGCAGAGTTCGCGTTTCGACTCCTAAAGGTGCGCAACTTTGGGCTGACGTTCGCAGCTTGGTGCAAATGGCACCATCGCCGAAACTGGCGCCATTCATGATCACAACCATCAGCAGCCTTCATAAGTTTGTTGTCAGTGAGCAGTGATTGAGGAGTTAGGGCTGCAAATTGGCGCTGACGCCAAAAATAAATGTCATAGCCGCGACCGGCACAAGATAACCTCCAAAGATCCCAGAGAAAATCGAGATCTCGGTCAAAATTCGAAACTTTGGAGGTCATTGGTTAGCACCTTTCCATATACGCTGACCGACTATGTCTAATCCAGGGAGTATTTCGCATCCCCTCCAGATAATATAAAGTCCTTCCCAGCGCAGACACCAGCAAGCAACCAAACTACTGGTGATGGTCAGAGGACACACAGTGAAAGCAAGCTACATCTCCAAAAAGAAAGTCTTCCCTGGGCCCTCAATCCTTCCACTTACTTGGATTTTTTATCGACACCTGCGCTGGTTTCAAAGGTCAAGGCGTATGCTAATATGTGCTCCACTAAAATCAACTTTGATTTTTGTGTTACCAGTCGTACCCCAGTTTTCCGCTCCAAACATGTATTTTAATGCCATGCGTAGGCATGCGGGATAGGCCACTGACTTACCGATGGCTCGATTTTTTTCAGTTTCGGTCAAATCTCGATTTCTTCAGAGTCCTCGGCCATGAAAATTGATGTCTTCTAATTAATAATAGGGCACTCGTTTTGCCGGCGCCGAATGGCGCTGCCTTAGCGCGACATATTTTTCCCCTTTTTCCCTTTTTTGGTGAACATCTGCTCATAGATGTTATACTGAATATGTTATCTATTTGGAGACTAGCGCCATTTGGTGCCTTGTTAGAGCCGCTTACCTAGAACGCAATAAACACTGAGAATCCAACAATAAATTCAACGTCCAGTCCTATGGTATTCTAAGGGCCATTTCAAAAAAAAATTTAACTACGTTCCGTGTTCTCAGCGTGCTCAGCTCTATACATATCTTGCAAAAAAACCGCCTTGAAAAAGAGGAGCACGTCCTGGCAGATACAGCTTGAACGAACCACTGCTCCACCTAATTAGGAAAAGTCTCTAACCTAACAAAGGAAGGTTTCAAGCTGAAGAGATCATTCGTAACGGAACATGCAGTCTCATACGTCTTTCGAGTGCTGATATTAAATTCTTTCTTAACTTGATTCCCTGACAGAGTTGAGAGTTTTTCTCCATACTTTCCTCGCCCTCAACTGTGAGAGTGATGAAGGAGATTTAGGTAGATCCTCCTGGTTAATTGCACTCTAGTGACTCTTCCTGGGCTTGTTCAACATCGTTTCCAAAATGTGACATGGTTCTCAAAAATGAGACTACTCCTTCAGGGTTCATTTCCTTCGAGTTTCTATTTCGCTGACCCTTCTGTCACATGAAATCACTTGTGATGAACATTCGACCATAAACTGCAAATCATGACCAACTTTCACCATGGAATATGAAAAGGAAGGGCTGGTTAACGGCATAACACCGGTTGAGCCCAGGTGGACGAATCGTTTTGGTGATGGCTAGAGGTGTGCACAAATGTTGCAGATGTCAAGTTCTTCTTGCCTTGGAATGCCCAGTGAAGGCGCCCTAACAAAGACCACTTCAAACGTCTCTTTTTTTTTGTCCACAACTCTCGTCCGACGTTTCATCCATTGTGCTCATCGCCCACCCTGTCTTCTCCGTGTCAGTCTCTCATTGCCTCAAGATGAAAGTGAGCAAGCTTTCACTGCGTTTTCAACGTTTCTTTTTACTCTCTCTACCGACCCAGTTTGCATCAATCATCCATTTTCAGCGCAAGAACCACACCAGCTTGATCATGGGGGTGCCATGAACGACACTTCTAGCGTGGACGTCAAAATCCGAAGACAGATTTCACGAAAAGAAGGCAACCGAGGAAACATTCACAATGTTATCCCCTCCCCTCCATATGTAAAAGCCACAAACAGACAAGAACAAAATTGGAGAAGACTCGATCACCCAACATCAATTCCACAAACGCTCCTGTATAACTGGTAGGTTTCATTACGATAACAAATTTGAATCGCTAAACATGCTACCTACCACTGCGACGAAACCACTAAAACAACTTGTTTCGCCTTGGAAAAATTACCCTCCAAAACTTGGGCAAATGAAAGCAAATATCGAGGTCATGCACTTTAATATGCAGCTATAATACAATAGATTTAAAATAAGTAAATTAAAAACCTTCTCTGGCATTGCGTCGGTCATGGGAGTACGGATAAAACCAGGCATGATAGTATTGACTCTGACGCCTTTTCTCGCTAACTCCTTGCCAACAGTTTTTCCAAACGCTACCACACCAGCTTTGGTTGCAGCATAATTACACTGACCGAAATTTCCGACCTGAAAGATTCACAACGTCAATCGATGTAAACAGAAAACTAAAAACTTCTTGGTCCTGTAAAACTTAATCCTCGAGAGCATTCACTAAGGACGTTCAGAATTGTATGCCATAGAGAAGCTGAGATTACTGGTATGAAGAGCAGAGTGTGACTTCAAAGAATACCTCTTCGAGAATAATAATTCTACTTTGTACCGTGCTCACCCAGACAAAACGCTGTCAACAACATTTGCGCCATGAAAATATGTAGTCTTTCACAATTCACTGTAATATTTCATAGGGAGACTGTGAGTACAGGTGGAAGTTTAGGTCGATGTCATAGTTTGCGAATCGCTGGATCCGAGCGTTGCGCCAGCGAATCGAACTTTGCACCAGCGAGTCGAACTAGGTACCAGCGACTCAATAGTGGCGGGACCCAACGTTCAAAGGAAGCCCGCCACTTTCAAACAGTGTCCACTGTCACGTGACACTGTTTGAAAGTGGCGGGCTTCCTTTGAACGTTGGGTCCCGCCACTATTGAGTCGCTGGTACATAGTTCGACTCGCTGGTGCAACGTTCGATTCGCTGGCGCAACGCTCGGATCCAGCGATTCGCTAGCGAATCGCTCGATTCGCAAACTATGACGTCGGCCTTACGTTGGAGACGTTAAAGTACAACGTGAAGATGGCTTCTGTGTCACGGAATTTAAACCGAAATGGAGACAAGTCCAATCAATGTCACAGTCAATTAAAGGTTAATTTAATGTCAGTAGTAAATAAAGTAGTGGAGTGAAAGGTGGAGCAGGTACGTGCAATAAGATGAAGCAAACGTCAACCACAAACCTTTCCAACTATAGAAGACACGTTTATGACAGAAAGCGGAGTCTTTTCGGAAACGGCTGACTTAGCAAATATTTGCGTGACCTGAAAAAAGTCAACGAAAATTACTGATTTCAGTTTGTGTTGTTTTATGTGCCATACGAGGTTGGTAGGTGGGAACGTTTATTGAATCGGCCTAACGTTTCGACAAATCGTCGTCCTCAGAGGCGGAGGCCTGAATGTGGTTCAAGGTTTAAC